AAAAAAGCTTACATGAGTTAAAATCTAAAAAGAATGTTAAGAGCTGATGCGTCTCATAATATTTTAAGTTTAGCCTATGGGCATGCTTGTTCCACAACCTGCTTTACTTTTTGCAGTAATATTAGCAAACAGACTTTGAATCATTAATTAAATGTTGCTCTTTACTTTGCTGAATATTTCATTAAGCACAACTTTAACAGCATTTAGATGGAGACACAAATTCATGCAAAAGCAACCGGAGGGAAAACAAAGTGAACCCAAATATGTTCAGAATATTTACAATCTGTACATCCTAATCTGGCAAACAACCCTCAATGGAATGCAGATAATAATTTGTTGAATATGACAATATGACTGGATGGTTTTTCTCTGAGAAAAAGAGTAACAAAATTGTGTTGTGGTTATAAAAAAAAAAAAAAACATTCTGGTAACAGAAATATTTCCAGTGAAAAAAAACATAAGCACAAAGTACATTATATATTTATATATAATGCTATTTTAATGTTATAACATTAAAATGTTATATTTATATGTGTTATATTTTAAAATGACATAATATTTATTATGTCATATTTTAAATTTTACCAATATGTAAAGAAACTAACTTTTTGGATCAGAAACTATTTAAACTTTTGTGAAGGGTAAAAAGTGGGAACACAAAATCTTTGGCTGCAAGGTCAACATTTTCTCCGCTACTTACGCTGAGTATAATTTAGAACAAGATTTATGTGTTTGAATTTACTCTAATATGTTTCTCCAACACATAACCACAAGACTCTTTAGGCCTGTTGCAATTACTGAGATCAGGCGTACTTCAATTCCTGTGTTAAATTAAGTAATTGGTGTAATGGAAATAAACTGGCAATGTAATAAAAATAAATTAACTGAAAGGTGATCATTCATGGCAATATTGGCTGAAAAAATGGGATTCTAATAAAACCCTTTAAAATGAAGCCACTGAACACATTCAGTGGGTATTATCTGATGACTCAGCTATCCATTAGAGGGCAGCATTATATTTTCTTCACTATATCTCATAAATCACATTTTGTTGGTCATTGTATCGCTGCAGTCCCAGCTGGAACACACTTGGACTTACCTCTAAGTTTTCTTTGCACACTGCAAGACAATTGACTTTTATGTTAGAAGGAAGGCAAGGTCAGCTGTGCCCAAACCCCATGGACACAAGGTAGCATGTTGTGCAATGCTTGGCCTCTTCTTCCTGTCTTAAAGTATGTGTCTGTAACTGTGCCGTTTATGGGCTCTTAAGGTCGATAGCCCCTTTTTGTGGTGAAAGTGATTCCATCCACATGACACATACTGATATTTCCCATTAAAAAACCTCAAACTAAAAGCTTTTATATTACTTGTTCCACCCCTTGCCAACTTTATTTTCTGAAATTTGACATAAATCAAAAATGCTCAGCAGACACCCAGTGCATCATTTAATTTATGATGACGCATCTAACACAAAAATAATAACAACAATGCAATGTCAAGTTTCTGGAAGCATTTCTTTCTTCCACCACTTTACACTATTCAAACCTCCCGACTATTTCTGGTGGCGATTTCAGAGGATGAGCACAGAGAATGAGTTTCTGTTCACACAGACAGGTTTTAAAGCTCAGCTGGGAGGTCTGAACTCTTCAACTAACTGCATTCCTGACTCTGGGCAGCTCTTCAAAAGCCAGAACTGCTAACACTGCAAGAAACAAGAGGGGGTGGGGGGGAAAGAAGGAAACAGAGATAGCACAAAGGAGAAAATGGTCAGTAAGAGAGAGAGAAACAAAAAACGCAGACAGCTCGTTGATTCTGGCTCCCTTCTTGAGGTGACGCCACCTGCTGAGACGACAATAAAGGTAATGTGACGTGCAGGTTCCACAACTTTCTGCAGCAGTGAAGTAACTGTCTATTTGAAGCCTGAAGTATAAACATTAACAAAATATTCAAGGTTCTTCCACCTCTGCTTATATAAAAAAAAACTGTAGTTGACTTTGTATTGAGAGAACTGTTAGGTTTTTCATTTTCCTTCCTGTGGTGATTTGTAAAATGTATATATTTTCATGCTTCTTCAGGCAGTTATCACTCTTCCATAATGCACAGATGTTTGAAACTTTAATGAAACAGACAAGCTTATTTTCTCCTCTGCAAATTTGTCATGTTTCCTTTTGACATCTGTCACCTGTGAGATTAAAACCTTTCTTAGGTCGTATTAAATTACGAGTACTGAGAAACAAATGACGTTAAACATCTGATTTGACTACAGAGAAAAAACAAATGTTGGTCAAGCTGCTTTCAGGGCACCATGTATGAGTTCAGTTCAAATGACAGAGAAATTATTCTGCCTCATCTCAACCTGAGTGGCAACTGACATAAGCTGTGAGCAAGTAAAACAATTTTGGTTATTAATCAGACAGCGAGTTAAACATCCTGATGGATTCCTTCCTCCTGAATAACCTCTGTGCTGCTTTTGTCTTTTAAACTTTGCTTGAGAGTCAGTGCATTTCTCTGCTACACCACAGTAGATAATCCAAAGGCATTCTTCTTATCATGTTTTTTTTTTAGCATCCCATTAAACTCTCTCTTTCAATGCTCTCCTTTCCTGTTTCCTGCACTGTCACATTTTGGTTTCTCCTGCTTCTATCTCCCTATTGTTTCTAGCCTCTTTTCTCTCTCTCTCTCTCTCCTGTAGCTGCAACTCTCACCCTGGGGAAATTCTGCTTTGCTAATGACATGTGCAGACTGGGTGTTGTAGAACGGGACATTAATGTTGCCTGAGTGTGAGACTGTAGAAAGGAGTTGCTATCCTCAAAGGGGTTTTTTCCCCCCCTTTTTTTTCTCAGCTGCAGTGTGAACATGCACAAAATAAAAGACCAGACACAAACACATTCCTTCTCTACACTTCTGAGGCTGATGCTACTGTCAGCTCAGTGAAGAATCTCAATTAAAAATAGGTACATAGCGCCCCCTGCTGCTTAGTAATCTAAGAGCATAAAATTCACCTGTTTCTTAATAAGAAATGCAAAGCTCATTGCAGCTCATCAAAACCTCCAAAATTCAGAACGCAATGATTAAAATTTAGCACACGTTATATTATGTGTAACATGTGTCATTCAGTGCCACATAATGCATTTGAAACTTTGCAGATTCCGAAACAAGAGTAAAACAAGATCACATTTCTGACCAAAAAGGGAGGTTGGTGGGAAAAAAATATATACCCATCTGCATAAACTGTAAAATACTTTTTTAAATTAGTTGTCAGAACTAATGTTTCTCTACACACTTTATGTGAACAGCTTCAAGCCTGCGTTACCAGGGGAGAGCTGACCTCAGGGATTTGTAAACAAGTATGGCAGAACAATTGGAGCACACCAACATTCCTCTGCATCTCTGGTTTTTGCCTCAGAAACAGAGAATTTTCCATTATGGTCTGAAGATTGACCCTGACGGCATACCAGCAGGTCAGTGATGCTTAAAAGCTTTTTCACAGGAATCTCTTCAGGACAAGGGAGCATCAACTCTTTAAGAATGTTGATTTATTACGATTCATGACTCCTAGTGTATGTCAAATATGCCCAACACGAGTATGAGCCATTCCAGTAGCAGGAGTATGTTTCACAGAGGATAATGCGGTTTCCAGGGGTCGTCTGACCAACTGTCTGCAGCCTCCAAAATCAATGAGAAATTTTATTTTCAGTCTGTAGCACATTTTTTTTCCTTCATATTTTAATTAAAAGGAAATACAGATGGATATCTCTACTAGTGATTTTACACATTTACCTTTGTCAGGCTTAACCAAATATATGCTCAGCATTATCTGGAATGAGCCATTTTGAGACAAAAACAAAAAACTTTGCAGTTACCTGCTTTGGAACAGAATGAATGTCAGATTGAACTTTGATTATGGCCATCAATTTTGAACAAGTCATGACAGCTGGTTTGTGGTCCATTTTACTAATCACTCCTGAAGTCAAATATTTTCAGAAATAATTGTAATTAATCAAAACAATCATAATTTGTGGAAATAAATGCACACCTTTTCCAAAATGAAACCATTACAGCTGCCTAAGGATTTTTGTCTTGCTAAAAATCAGTTTGACCTTACGTTTTTAGGCTAAATTGTGTGTTTATCCATCACTGCAGCTATAAACCCCCTAAATTGAAGCCAAAAATCTCATAATTCTTTTAATTAGAAGTAGAAAGATTCAGCAAACTTAAACACTCACTGAAAGTCTGTCCTAGACTGATTAAATTTCTGGAAAAAAACCCAAAAACATACAAAAATGGTCTCCAAGGGGAAAAATGCTACCACTAAAGAATCTAATCAACTTGACAAAAAAAAATGAAGCATTCATACTGTAGAGACGTAGGAAATATAGCTCTAAAAAGCACTTAGTTTTTTCCATTTATGTCAATGTTCAATACCAAACCTTTACCGGGATCATCGAAAGATACCTCTGAAAACCTGAGAAAATGTAGACTTGAAAAATTTTGCCTGGCATGTCTCATGTGCTGGAAAATAATTCAGTAGAGCTTACCTGAAATTGACCAAATGTTAATTTCAATTGTAAAATACTTTATAAATCTAGAAGTGAAATTAAATATTGCTGCCTCTGTAATCTAAGGTTCCTCATGGCAGAGGACAAAAATGACCTCCTGTAGCAGTCTGTGTTTCAGCGGTCCAGGTGAAGCCTGACTGGAAGCACACCGTTTTATAGAAAGAGAATGCCCAAAGCTGTCCATTATGCTCTTCATTTCTTGAACCATTCTTCTTCACCTCCAGAACTGAACCATCCGTCTTTATCAGCTTCTTCACCTTGAAGTAATTGGGTCTGCTACTGCTGTCCTGCCTTCGGTCGTGGTACCGGATGCAGCTTAGAGTACCGCCACATTTTTCTGTCTTACTAAGCATTTCAAAATATATCAATCAAATATAGTATTTATTACAAAGAAGATTAAAAAATCTCCCCCTACCCCCCAAAGAAAAAAAAGCAAAAGACGAGATTTTACCTTTTAATTTAACATGACAACATGTACATTAAAAGCAAGGCGAAATTTAAACAAATCTTGAATTATGAAGAGCTTCAGATGAGAATTAAAATGAAAATATTTTACATTTATGGGACAAGAGCAATAGCCATGAGCTCAAAGTGGAGGAGGAAAGAAACACTCCCTGCCACGAATCTTACATTGTACATACGCTTTTAACTGAGGTCTTTTTTTTCCTTTTTTTTTTTTTTAAATAAAAAGGAGGTCAGAAGTTGAACCTGACAAATGAGTACAAACCACGAGCACTGTTTTTATTCAATTTCTACTAGATTCCAAGAAACATAGGATGTGTAAAGATTTTCAACAAAACAAAACAAAAAAGCTCATTAAGAACTTTTTCTACACTTTCCATGTGATATCTGGCTGCCATCTATTACCAGTGAATCAGATGAATATGAGATGAACCACAACTGCCTTTTATCCAGCCAATTAAACAAACACAAAAAAAAAAGATCAAAGTAATTAACCCTCTCTCATCATTGAGATATTTCATGTCATGGTTATTTATCAAATAACCCCCTACACATCTGTGGTTCACCTTGTTTGTAAGCAGCGAAGTCAGGTTCAGGGTAAAGGTGGGCATGCTCTTCAGCTTTTTCCTCCACAAGACATTCCAGCTTTTCCCCTGCAGAGCAAAACGGCCACAACAAACAATGTTAGCAAGGGTCCCACAACATGGGCTTGTAGCAAAGACAACCAGCTATGCAGGCAAATGTTTATCTGCTGGTCAAATATGGTATTTTTTTATTTTTTATTTTTTTGTGGGGGGGAAAATGATGGCCCCATTAACAGACTATAAACCAAATAATTCAGATTTCTAGCATGAACACTGCAGGTTTTGAATACATTTGGCTACTTTGGTATATTTTATCTGCTTCATATCTATAAAAACTTAGCATTATTTTAAAGACAAACCAATATAGTATTCCTTTCGCCAAAGTGGAAATATGCCTGAGATGATGGAGAATTATGAGCATAATGATAATAATACGGTGGACAAGTCTGTGGCAATTTCAGCCAATGGCAAAAGGACATGAAGGTCGTCTCAGATTGTTCATTCAAATAACTCTTCTTCCCCCAACATGTTACCAAATACAGCAGCAAATCAGACAATTAAAAATATGCACATGATGGATACATGTTCTAAAAGAAGTATAACTAATTCTTTTTTTTTTTCTTAGACAGGCAACAGCATTCAGAAATGGATGTGGGTAGAGAAAGGAGTACCTGGGGTGAGTACCTGCACAGTTTGACAGTCAGAGAGTATCCAAGATTTTTAATTTGCCCTTTTTCTCATGTGGGTCTCGCTCACAACACCAACGCTGTGTGAGGTATAGAAGTCAGCTGCAATTCATCCGATAAACCCTACACCTCCAGTTAGTATTGTTAAGACCCCCCCACCCAGGTGCTGTAACCCCCCTCCCCCCAAAAAAACACAGTGCATGGCATTATCAGGCACAGTAAGCTGGAAAATGGGCAAATTCCCAAAGGTAAAATCTGAAAATGTAGAAAACACAGCCACTTAAATTTCCTCCCTGAATGGACAAACAGCAATTACTACGTTTTCCTGTTTCAGAGTAAGAAAAAAATGTAATGAAAAGTAATAATAAAAAAGGTAAAACATGTATATACAGCTAGAGAAATTTGACTGGATCTGTCATTTCTTCCACAGAGTGAAATTAAACATCTGTAAGGATCAAAAACTGATACAAAACGAGGGGTACCTCTGGGCATGTTTGCTCAGGGCTACACTGGCCTTTCCCTCTTGGCTTTGTGTGAATGTTTTCTACTTTCTTCTCATTCATCGGGCCTAGTCCTTCATCTTCAGTGCATACTTACGATGCACTAATCAAAAACAGGATAAAGATATTTGCATATAGTACATACGACAAAGAAAAAAAAAAAAAAGAATCATAGGCATTGAACTGAACATAAACAGCGTGGGAAACCGAAGGGGCAGATACGGAGGGGTGGAAGGGAGGCGGGAGGACTGAAGGAAAGGGGAGAGAGTGTGAGAGGGAAGGTTGAGAGCCAGGGGGAGTGAAGACGAGGACGCACTTACCTGAGCCTGATCTGAGGTCCTATCAGATCAGTTTTAATTGGACTGAGTGTCACCTTCAGATTGGAGGAGCTCTTGCTGGCCGTTAAGCAGAGGGGGGGAGGAGGAGGCGGCAGCCTCGGTCTGCATCGGTTCCGACTCCGACGAAGCCTTAACGGTGGCTGCGTCGCTTTCTTTCTTAGAGCTGCTCTTCTCCTCTGTCGCCTTACGGTCTGACAAAACGGTACAAATATTCAGCAGTTGATCAATTCTGAAAATAACTCACTTAAAATGCCTGTTATTCAGGTCGAAACAAAGTACAACATAACATAAAAGTAGAAGTGAAAATAATGTGATTTTTTTTTTCCACAAATGTAAACCTGAAAAGTAGGACCAGCTTTCTATCTCTTCCATACATGCAATGATTTCTGGGACAGTGGTGCCATTAGAGTGGAGGAAATTATTGCATGATGGCCAAAAAGTTACATTCTGATTTGAATTGATAAAAGCAAGACATTTGTTTCATTTTCAACTGCTTTTATTGCACTCATTTTAAATCCCAACACAAAACCCTGAGGTTCAATAATGTAACATGACAAAAATGGCAATGCTTAAGATGAGAAAAACAGGCTCCCACCTTTTTCTTTTGATGACCGCTCTTTGTCTTTGTCCTTTCCTTTGTCTCTGTTTCTGTCTCTATCCTTGTCTTTATCTCGGTCTCTTTCTCTGTCTCTGTCCTTGCTGCGGCTCCGGCTGCGATGGCGGTGAGACTTGCGCTCCGGGCTACGCGACCTCCTCCTGTCGCGACTACGGGAGCGACGTTTTCTGTCAGCTCGCTCACGACTGCGCCTCCTCTCTCTGTCACGACTCCTGAAGAAAGAAGGAGAACGAGTTGAAGAAAAATATATTTTCTCTATGTACACACACTCAATTTGAAGCAAGACATATAGAAGCACGTCATGTAAGCAAGTCTTCCTGTTATGTTCTTGCTTTGAGACGCCAAACATTAAGTGATTCCTCATGCCCGTCAAAAGTATTGTTCTAAAATCCTTTTCATGATGCAAATTATCTTTTTACAAGAGTGAAATAATTCATCCAACTGAAAATTTTAATCCCATTTCATAGCTGATTGTAGCTACAAAGGAGAAGAAGGAGAAGGAGAAGAAGAAGAGGAAGAAGAAAAAGAAGAAGAAGAAGAACCAAAAGCATAATAATCAACCATACCTGCTGCGCTTCCGTTCCCTGTCTCGGCTTCTAGACCTCCGGCGGTCGCGGGATCTGCTCCGCCTCTTCTCCGACGTTCTGCTGGAGTGGCGGCTGTTGGAGTCACTTCGCCTGGCCCGTCTCTCGCGGTCCCGCTCTCGCTCCCGTTCTCTGTCTCGCTCCCTCTCTTTCTCCCGTTCTCTCTCTTTCTCCCGTTCCTTCTCCTTTTCCCGCTCCTTCTCCTTCTCTTCCTCCTCTTTGCGCTTCTTCTCCCGCTCCTCCCTCTCGCGCTCTCGCTCTTCTCTGTCCCGTTTGACAGCAGGGCTCTCGCCTTGAGGGTCTTCAGAGCGACGTCGGAGTTTTTCCTGAGGACACAAATTCCCAATTAAATAAAAGTCAAAACTAAAAGCATCCAAATTACTTGTCTTAATGTCCAATGCTCAGCTGAGGCATTTCATAACGTTACCTTAAGCTCCTCTACAGTAGACTTTATCTTTGCGTAGCCCATGTGTTGTTTGCCCATTAAGTGGTCATCGACCCGGGACTGTGCATCACCCACGATGAGGAAGGCCCCACACACCTCACACACCTCCATCTGTTTCTCCTGAGCAGCAAAGCTCTCAATAGTCTTAAAGAAAAAGAGCAAAATATTAGTTTCCCCCTTTTAATTAATAAAAACGTAATTCACTTTGGATAGATGTATTTCAGCACATTGAAGGATAAACTCTTGTATGAAAACAGTGTTACACAAGCAACACCTACTATCTTGAGCAGCATCAGTAGGCCGATTAGCCGGTGTTAGTTGACTCACCGAGGGGGTGGAGCTCAGCATCTCCCTCTCCTCCTTCAGCTGCTCTACCAGCTTCATCATTCCCTGAGCCTCCTCCACGCGGCCTTCCGACCCCAGTTCCTCAATCTAAGGAAGAGAACCATGTTGCGGTTTATTAGCAGAGAAAACGGGAAATCTATTATAATTCAGTTTTAGATTGTATGACTTCCTTTATCACATATTTTTTCCAATGCAATGGTGATTCCAAATGTGTAGCTGTAGTTACTGCAGTGTTAAAACTTGTCTATTGCTGATATCAGTGAAGGATTTGAAAATGAAATACAAAAACAGTCACAAAAATATCAGGATCTATATTAAATGAAACTCTAGGTTCTCTGACATTCAGGCTGGCCATTCAGGCTAAGAGAGAAGGAGACGTTCAGCAGCCAAAACTGTTATGGCAAATTTGCCCTCTTCTTTTTGAGGTTTTAACTTCAGTTGGATCTGGAACCAAAATATTTTGGAAATCGTAGGAGTTAAACTAAAAACCAAAATTCTCTTAGACGACATTAGCTGCATCGACAGCCACTTTAACACATAGAACTGCCTAATCTTGTGTGTGTTTATATAATTGTTCCAAAACAAATATCTAAAAACATTGTGAAAATTTTTCTTCCACAATTTTCAGATCAATGCATCTCAAACAAATGTAAATTATATCAACAAATTAGTCACAAACCTGTAAAACCAGGTCTTCTATCTTCTCTGTTAGAACTTTAACTTTCTCTTCATTCTTTCCAGTTGGACCTGGGCCCTGTGGGAATAAAACCGCAATATCTTACACAAACAGTACATTTATTTTCCTGTGGGTTTTTCCACAATAGGTAAAACTGCATATTTGTGTGAAAAAAATCAATAAAAAAACTACAAACCCCTGCATTTTGCTGAGCTTGGGAGAGTGCAAGCCGAGCATGTCCTCTACGAATCCGCCGCTCCACTTCCGCCAGGAGAGACTGCAGATACCGCAGAAATTCTCGCTCGTAGCCTTCTTTCATAAACCGAGAGCTTTTCTCGTACCTGTGGCAAGAAAGATGTTTATCAGGTCAAAACATTCAAATGGGGAAAAAAAATATAAGACTAAAAGTCTTAAGCAGAACTTACAGTTTCCTTAGATTTTCATCATGGATTTTCTCACAGGGACCTGGAACAAAATAGAAATGCCTCATTACACTATAACTGTATTAATTTAATACTATTAAATTATTAATTTCTTTAGGTCCTCACCCAAGTCAGAACGTGTATTTGTGAATAGCTCCGCTGGGCAGAAGCCACACAGATAGTATCGACAAACCTTTAGAGAAAAATAGAAACTTTTCTTAAGTTTATATTCCAAGAACTATTTATGAAGAATTGCAAAACTCTGAAAATCAAGGTTTTCAAATATTCTAGTCAAAAAACTATTTCAGACATCTTTTAAGCATAATTAGTACAAGCACACCGAAGGAGAAGTGCACACTTTTGACTTGCACAATTCAATACACAAACAAAAATAAAGTTGTCTTTACTTCAAATCAAGTCAAATGACAGTATTTTTGCATCAAATTGCAATATTTTTCTCCAACCTGATGAAAGAAAATAAGAATCAGCAGATTCTCCAAGTCATAAAAGGAACTAGTCTGCGTCTTCCTTTTTTTGCTCCAATTGCTTGATTATGCTGATGATGCCAAAACCTGTGCCACCGCCTTAAAAATCCAACTTTATTTGGCTTCTTTAAAATACGAAAGGTATAAAATAATTTGTCATTAATTTTTTTTTATTAAAAAGTGATGCAATGCTAATGTGCCAAATTTCCCTGAAGAGTAGATTTATCAATTTCAAATAAACTAAGTCTATAATTTAGAAATGTGAAATTGCAAAAACAAATTAGAATTTTTTTTTTTTTAATATAGGTTTTTATTTCCTGGCATTACAATCTCAGTAACTAATGTGATTCTTTGAATAAAACACGATAACAAGTCAGTCCTTTTTAACATGTGAAAACTTAATTTTTTTGCTTGAGGTTTTAGAGCAACATGTCGAGCATTTTCTGAGACTTGGATAATAACTTCTCACTGGTTTCAGTGTAAAACGAGGGAAACAAACTGCCAACAAACTTTAGCGGCAGGTCTCATTTTAAACCCACACGTGATCTTAACACTTAGAAATTTCTTCCAAGACGTCAGACTTTAAGTTACTTATTCGAAAGGCACATATATAGGAAAAAAAAGTGTCTAATCTGAGAAAACTTGATTATGACGTATTTCAAAGTATCTCTCGGGTATCTTGAGGCTTTAAAAACCTTGTTCTAACGAGAGCGTTGCCATCCGTCATTGTGATCCAACGGCCTAGCCTAGCTTAACCGTTAGCAATTTCAGGTTAATACCGCTAACATGCGTACCTATACCGCAGTGCCCCCTAGGACTTAATTAGAAAGACGTTTTAAATTAAACCTAAAGCGAAAATCCCAGATGAAGAAGCCAGTCGAGTCCCAAACCATATGAGGCGTGGTGTTAGACATCTCGCATTGCCTGAAGAAATGTAAGCTCATCACATTTTCAAAGCTAAGGTTGGCTACATGCTAACTTACGCTTTCGTCATCCCATCGCACGTTGGAGCGCTTCTCATCAGGGGCCAGGTTTCTGTCTCTGCCCATTAACTCATCGAGTAACTGGGCTGCAGACAGCATTTTGATGGAATTGCGGTGCCTTCTCCAGGAGTACCGCTGTGTATCCCGCGGAGCCTATTTATGCCAAGCACAACGCTAAGTAGTTCTAACCAAAATGGCAGACGCTGTAGCAGCAACAACGCCCGCTCACGGCTCGTCTACGAAAAGGTCAGTCTGAACCGGATGCAAAAACTGATGCAGAGTTCAGTAAAGTCCCTCCTCGGTTCTACTTTTGTGAGCAAATGTCTCAAACTATACTATGAAATTGTTTTTGCATTTTACAGATTATTCTATAATAATAATAATAGTTATTATTATTATTATTATTATTATTATTATTATTATTATTATTATTATTATTATTATTATTATTATTGCTTTTTATAATTACAGTTTAATGTTTCAGAGCATATAAAACTATGACAAGACGACACACAAAATGTAATTTTGAAACTTCAAGTCCAGTTAGAAAACACAGCTTACTATATTTGTTTGGTTCAACGTCAATAATGAACCAAATGAGGCCAGATGTTTACAGGGTGAATGGAACTGATTGAACTTGATTACTGTCTGATCTGTAGAATTAATCAGGAGATCATTAAAGCCTTTCTGAAAACATAAAATAGGCTAAAATATATCAAAAAGCAGCATCATATTGACAAACAAAACTGCGGAAGAAGATGAGAAAAAATTCAATGGCATATCAGACTCTAAAATGTTCCAGGGCTTTGGAATCTGCAAACATTTCAATTCGATGACTCATGTAGAATTTAAAGAATGTATAGTTTGTTTGTTTAAAATTTTTAAAAATTACCTTGTCAAAGTTTAGACCTAAACCTTGTCAAAATTTAGACCTGAATTAATTGCTGTGGCATGACTTTGGGTCATTTTCAACCTAAAATAAGGCGAAAATAAGTACATAAATAAATTATATGCTTCTTTGTCTATTCTATGTTAACATTATGACCTTCATTGGTTAGTTTGACCAGAAAAGTTTACTGGTATTCACTTGATCAACCTCTTTAGTGCACCTTCAAAAAGCTTAGCATTTCTTTTCCATTTTATATTGCCTCTACTGAGTTTTATCATCACAATACATAGCCTACATTTTTAACTGGTGGACTGTCAATCACACTGTATTGATCCCGTAGGAAACTTAAATGTTGTTGTAACTTATGCGAAGCTGTTCAAAGAGTTATTCTAGATCCTGACGGATGTGGGCAGGAGTTATCGTCTCTTAATGTGTCTAAATATCAAAGAACAAAACAAAAAACAGATTATGTTACATCAGATCTAGGATAGCAGCTGCGCTGGCATGTGGATATTTATTTCCCTCTAGTGGTCACATTTTGGAAATGCGATAGTCATTTGCCGATATTAGATTGTAATAAACATTACAATACCTCGTAAGGTTTATTTACATACGTTTTATTAGTGTGAATCCTGTTGGCATTTATTTAACATAAATTTACAGCTTTTTATTTATATGAAGCATTAAAAATACAACTATATACGTGTAGTTTTAATAGACTAACTTAACTCGTTCTGTTTTTTAAAGATCGGATTTATTTGTTAAGCAGACGAAGTTGTGTAAAAATAGCAACAAAGAGTAATGTAGCATCAGTATTTTGAGCTAAAACGTGAGAAAGTGGAACGAAGTACCTGGGTGCTTAATGTTGTCACATCCTAACCCCTCCGACTCGACGAACAGGCGGTGGTGTTTGAGACTGACAGGACACCGTCACTACTGTCTGAATGACCCGGCCAGGGTATAGTCAATGGTAGTATGACATGAACGAACAGCATATTTGAGTGTTTAACTCCAGACTGAGAATTTGAAGAACTCTTCAAAACGAAGTTACGTTAGCCGAAGCTATTTGTTGTCACAAGCTAGCATCCCCTGTCAAGCTAGCCACTAGTAGGTAAGCTTAGCCGGTTAGCTGACCAGTCTCTCAGCGGGACCTGTGTGGACATTACTAGTGTTAGACCATATTATTGGCCGAGACACTTTTGCCCCCCTATGGTCTCACTCCGCTAGCTGCTTGTGCCAAAATGTCCACGACTTCGTTGGATAAAGAATTACAGGAGCGACTGAGAGAAGCGTCTGCCATCGGGGATATCGACGAAGTGCGGTCGCTGGTGGAGAGCGGGGTGAATGTTAATTCACAGAACGAGATCAACGGGTGGTAAGTGTTTCTAGTCAACTACCGCAGTTTGTGACGGACTTTTGTTGCGTTCAGCTTCACCAATTGAAACCCTCGTAGGAGTCACTGAGCCAAGTGCGTCGTTGTAGGGATAAAAATGGTCAGTGTTATCCTATTAGGCGACACTAAGCCTGTTAACCAGTCAGCTTTACCCCTTTTGCTTATCCGAGCCGTAGAGCTCCGAGACTGTCGAAATGCCCTTTATCACTCTGCAGGCCAGTGGTTAAATTGGCGCGTTGTTGCTGTGAAACGACAATAACATCACAACGGATCCAAAAGGATAACATGTTCAAGAGGGAGGAAAAATCCCCATGAGGGAGTGAGTCCTTCAGGGCTGGTGTCATGTATGTTCAACCCACTTGTCTCTTTAGCAGGCCTGTGTAGAACTTTGTTATGTTGAGATTGAGTTAAAGGAGAGCTGCGTGTTAAGCTGGTTCTTGAGGACTATTCCATAAAGGCTCTGATCAGAGCTAGATCAAATGTAATAACAGGTGCATTTCAATAAATTAGATTAAAAGTTTTATTTCAGCAATTAACATGGAAATGTTCAAATTCATTTCAAATACTTATTAGACAGAATCCTATTGCTAGCAGTTGTTTTTCTTTTAATCGCTGTTGTTATAGATTACTGATTATATGAGAAGTTAGTAATCAGAAGGTAACTTCTGATTATATGAGAAGTCCACTTCTCATATAATCAGACAATTACATAAGCAGTGTTCACAGTAACTTCTTAATTATGTCTGCCAAGCTGGCTCATGTGGAAGTGTCTCGGGGACGACATTTTTGAAACATGTAGGACGATGTTCTCAGATTTATATCTATTTAACAGTGGGTATTGTGGTGACTTTTAACGTTTGCATAATTCACACTGTACCTTAATCAGAGTTGAGTCAAATTTAATAGCTACAATAAATTGCAGCTCTTTCATCCTGATAAGACGTGTGTGTGTGTGTGTGGTGTGTGTGTGTGTGTGTGTGTGTGTGTGTGTGTGTGTGTGTGTGTGTGTGTGTGTGTTACCAGCTCGTATCATGGATACGTCTGTGTGTGGTGTTCTTGAAACCCCTGCAGCAGAGCAAGTCTTGTAAATCTTCCCTAAACCCTTAAATATTCCTGTTTGTGCACTTTTTCTACACACTACTGCCAACCAGTTTCTTTAGGAGTGAACCTTTGTGGCAGCAGTCTTCCCCATGATGATAAAAATGTTATATAGACAACAAAAATGTGAGGAACTTAAAGTTCCACATTTTAAATGAAAAAACTTATTCTGCAAAACAAAAAGTTTACCAAAAAAAAGTGTACAATATAAGTATCAAACTATAGAGTTCTCAAACACTTCTGGTAAACTACATAATACTGACCAATAACCCCAAAGGATTAGTAGATTTTACTTGAAAGAAAAATAACAATATGTATCTTCGATTTTTGTATAGAATCATGTTAAAGTACCTCCAAATGAAACTTGAGCTAATTGATTCTTTATAGCTTGGAAAGAATGGTTACATTGCAATGTGAGCTGCTTATTATTTTTTATTAAATATGATACTTTTAGTTTTAGTTAAGAGATAACTCGTCAACACTGCACCATCTGGATATATTAGATTTTCAGGTTTTATGTTATAAAAGCAGCATGTTTGTTTTTAAATAAATGTAGACATACATTTCTTAGACAATTTAACTAAGAACCTGCAGAGCATGAATGGATGGAAAAAGCTGTTTTCTTTTCGATTTCTTCCACCAGGACATGCCTGCACTGGGCTTGCAAGAGGAACCATAAGCACATCGTGTCCTACTTACTTGGTTGTGGAGCGGACAAAGAAATCCTCACGGCTAAAGAGGAGCTTGCCTCTCAGCTTACATCTAAACCAGAGATCAAGAGACTCTTGGGAGGTTATATCTCATTTTATGTTCTTCTTGTTCTTATAATGTTCCAATTTTGCTATGTTCTGTTAAAACCCATGCCATTATTTGTCTAAATCTGTCTATTAAAGTATCATCTTTGTCATTATGTCAACCCCTTTAATAAATAATGATTGTTTGTGCACTTTCATAGTTGAGGTGGAGGAAGTGACTGAGGTGAAGGAGTCTGAGTTACCAATCATCCCAAATTACCTGTCCAACCCACCCTTCATCTATTCCAAGATGGACAATAAGTCAGAGATCCTCCAAACCCAGCCCCTCACACAGAACGGCTCCAGAGATTACACTGAAGACACACAGAGTGATTCAGCGTCGCTGTCCTCCACCGATGAGCTCCAGAAACCCCAGAGCATGGTGTGTGACGTGCCCGCCCCTTCACCAAACCCTGTCGTCAATCACAGCCAACCTCCAGCTGCTGAGTTCATTCCTGTGCCTGAGCAAAATGGCGTGTTGCCCAGCCTGGCCTCGTCCCACAGTCACTCTGTTGTGAGCCACACTGTGCCTATTGACCTCTCAGTGGAGCCTCACTTGGTCAACCATGCCGACTACCCTCACATGGTGGCCCACAACGGTACTGTGAGTTCACCTCCACTGGCCTCTCCGCGCCCAAGCTTGACCGGCGGCGGGGCCGGGGGCACACAGGTTCAGGCTCCAGTAGCCAGCGCGAACCCCACCATGAACCGGCAACAGTCTATTCCACAGCAGCTGAGCTACAACCAGGCCAATGGGCCCATGCCAGCATTTCAGCCTTTCTTTTTCACCAGCACCTTTCCTGTTAACGTACAAGGTGGGTTAAACTACTACTTGTTTGTTGTGTAGTTTTTACATCAACAAAATACTTAAGATTCCACTTGTTGAAGCAGAAAAGACTCTTAGTGTTTGTAACATCACTCACTGTGACCTTTGACCCCCACAATAGAGACAAATATGCAGAGAAGTTTATCTGGTCCAACAAGGTTGCTTTGTTAGTACATGACTATGATAATCTGGTGACGCAATTCTCCTGATATCCTATTGTGTCTGTTAATTAAGCCATATTGTGT